ATTTCTCCATGGGCACACCATGTATCTTCAAGCCTTTCTGAAGGAGTGGTCCCTTCCCTGGAATGCAGGGAAAGATCAAGTATTGGTTCCAGCCCAAGTGTTCAATTCCTTACAGTTTTGGTCAGTCCATGACAACATCTGCAAAGTCGTGTCCAGCTGCTTTCCAGAACCTATATTCTCAGAACTGATGCCAGACTGGAGATTTGGGGAGCTGGCCTGAGGACCCAAAAAGCTTAGGGCCTCTATGCTGAGGAGGAAAAGACTCACTGCAAAAATCTTCTTCTGCTGAAAATGATCAGCTTAGCTCTGAAGATTCCAGCCCTCCCTAAGGGAGAAGCACTTCCTCCTTCAGTCAGAAAATATGTTGGTGGCAACATTTAAAACAACCAAGAGGAACAAGAAACTTCATACTACACAGGTGTAGTCGGTAGGTCTAGGTGCATAGGTAGAAGTTGAGGCAGAAAGGCAATGAACCTAGAGGCCTTAGGACCTGCAAGAAATAGTGTAACTGAACCAATAAAGACATAAGGCCTGAAAAGCCTTAGCATAAGTAGCTAGCCAAAACTAAGTCTAGATCAGAAAGTATAAGACAGAATGATGTAATGACTAAATTGCTGACAGGTAACCACAAAATGCTAGTTTGTACTGGCTTGGAGAATTTTCAGTTAGGGACATCAGCAGATGTCTCACCACAAAGAATGCCCTGGTAGCCAACTGACGTAAATGTTAAAATTGAGGTAAAATGATGAATGACTTCTTGGAGAAGAGCATCCCAACATTAGCAGGGTAAGGCGCTACACGTAAGGAAAAGGGGCTGAACCCTCTACTGAATATGCATTGGCCGTACTGGTGTCAATATATTTACATCTATCCAGCTGTCCCTCTTAGGCAATGCCAGGGTGGCTACCAATGCTGCTGCTGATAATAGTGAGGTTAAGACAGTAACTAAAACTTCAAGTTGTTCTGCAGGGGAAGGTGTGAGGGTATGGAGGCTCATCTCGGTCTGTACTCTATCTCCCTTGCTGGGTTGAAGAGTTTGTAACAAGGCTGTGGTAATAAAATGTGAATGCTGAAATGGGGGTTCCTAGTTAAACAGCAATTCTAGTAACACTGGATTTGGTCTTGGGATGAGAACCAATCAAACCTCAGAATGTTAACTGGGAATTTTAAAATAAGCAGACAATGCAGAATAGATCAGGCAACATGTGGAAGCAATGGATATAACGAGGAGGGCAAAATGGTTCTTCCTCTCTTGAGTGAGCCATGAAAGATGAGAACTAAAAGGCTTAGCAGGTGCTTGGTCAACACCTCCAGGTCCTGACAGATGATGATAGTGCTGCTGGTCTGGGAGCTGTTAGCTGCACAGCAGAGTTCAGCTCACGTTAAGAATTGATATTCCTGAATTTCTTACTTTGTCTTAATTTAGTCCCTTTCCATTACTTTATTAGCATTTCTAAGGTAAAAGTATATATTTAGAAACAAGGAAAAGTCAGGTTTCAAATATTAGTGGCTAGCATTAGAAGCAGAGTTAGCATTTCTGTTACTTAGCAACCAAATCTTCAAGAAACAAGTCTTTTCTCAGAATCAGAGGGTTGGAAGAGACCTCAGGAGGAGGTCATTGAGTCCAACCCCCTGCTAAAAGCAGGACCAACCCCAAGTAAATCATCCCAGACAAGGATTTGTCAAGCTGGGATTTAAAAACCTCTAGATGGAGATTCCACCACCTCCCTAGGTAACCCATTGCAGTGCTTCACCATCCTCCTAGTGAAATAGTTTTCTTAATATCCAACCTAGACCTCCCCCACTTGAGGCCATTGCTCCTTGTTCTGCCATCTGTCACTACTGAGACCAGCCTCTCGCCATCCTCTTTGGAATCCCCCTTCAGGAAGCTGAAGGCTGCTATCAAATCCCCCCTCACTCTTCTGTAGATTAAATAAGCCCAAATCCCTCAACCTCTTCTCCTAAATCAGATGCTCCAGCCCCCTAATAATTTTTCTTGTCTTCCACTAGACTCTCTCCAATATGGCCTCATCCTTTCTGTAATGGGAGGCCCAGAATTAGCTGCAATACTCCAGATGCGGCCTCACCAGAGCTGAATAAAGGGGAATAATCTAGATCTCTCGATCTGCTGGCAATGCTCCTCCTAATACATCCTAATATGCTGTTAGCCTTCTTGGCTACAAGGGCACCCAGTTGACTCATATCCAGCTTCTCATCCACTGTAATCCCCAGGTCCTTTTCTGCTGAACTGTTGTCTCCAGCCTGTAGCAGTGTTTTTCAGCTGTTGCAGGCCTGAAAGGTTAAAATAATTGATTTATTTAAAGTAAAGTTACCGACGTAAGCATTATGATTTTGTTTGGGTTTTTGTTTTTTTCAGTTGTTCCATTTCTTTCTGTGATGTAGGGCTTTTGTAATGGTTCTAACTTTTAAAAACAAAGTGAGAAGAAAGCATTGTAGGGAAGCAGAGAGATTAATTACTATTGTGAGATCCGTTTAAAATTACAGGCAACAGCAGTGAGTTTAGCAAACAAAGTGGATAGAGTGTTTGAGAGGTGGTATTATTAGTTCTGAGGGAAGTGGGGTTCCTTAGGTTAAAGAGAGAGATTGGGAACCAGGACCTCTGCTTTTTATCCTGGGCTCTGAGAGGAGAATGGGGTTGCTGCCTGCTCCGGCAAAACAAGAACTCGTTCCCCTCCATGTCCTTGGCTTTTGTGTGCACACCAAATGAATTTCAGGAGTGCCCTTTGCTGCTCCAGTTCTGGGCAACTCCAGGTACTAATCCATCCATTCTAGGTGTGAACGGGCTCGTTTATATCTATATTCTTTCATTCGCCCCCACCCAAAAAATTGTGGCCTTCCCCCTCTCGAGCTGCTCTATCTTATCCACCAACCTCATCAAATCACTTGCTAATTCTTTCCCCTCTGCACTTAGTTTTATAGGCACTACTCTGGCTTTGGGTTTGCCAGATGCTTGCTCTCACCATACAGTGACAGGTGCTGTGGTCCTTGCCCATGGACTGCTTGGATGGCTGTTGGTCTGGGTCAGTCGACAGGGCCCCCCACCAACATTTTTTTCAATGAACCCAGGTTCCATCTTTTAATTTTGCTAGGCCACCTTTTTGCATCTGTCCCCATCCTTCAAGCCCTGCATAAGTTCCCAAAGCCCACTGTTGCCCACCAAGACTTATAACTGGGGACAGAATTTCTCTTTTTTGCAGATTCTCTACAAGTGTTTTTAATTTTCTATTTGGTTCCTGTGCTTAGAGTCCTGCAAATCCGCAGGTGTCTGCAGCAATCCATGGACCAGATTGCGGATTGGATGCTGGTAAAAACGTTTGTATCTGGGCAGAGCTCTAAATATAGAATCTCAAAGACAGGAGAGCAGCTGTTTGCAACTCTCAGCCTATGAGGTTGCTTCCCCGCCTTCACATGGGAAATAGAACTCAGAGTCATGGGGACAGATGCCTTATTGGACAATTGGCCACAGGCTCCGCCTCATGCATTTCCCCCCTTTCCAGTCTTGGGGGAAAGTGGTCCAGAAAATAAGATGACAGGTGCTGGTCAAGGAGACGTTGGTTCTTGGCTCAGAACTGAAACTGGAACCCCCAACTCCAGCTTCCATGAAGACTAGATGTCCGCTAACAAGATCCTCAGAAGAATTCATCTGGTGACAAGCAGGAGCAGAGGAGGTCATGACCAGAGCATGTGGGGGCAGGGATAGCTCAGCAGTTTTGAGCATTGGCCTGCTAAACCCAGAGTTGCAAGTTCAATCCTAGCGGAGGCCATTTGGGGCAAAAATTTGTCAGGGATGGTATTTGGCCCTGCTTTGAAGGCAGGGGATTGGACTCGATAACCTTTCAAGGTCCCTTCCAGTTCTAGGAGATAGGCAATCTCCATTCATTTAAATTTTAAATGTGGAGTCAATATAGTGAACTCCCTCCATGAAGCTTCAGCAAAAGGACAGCAGTTCCAGAATTGTGGGAGATGCTGCCAGCAGAAAGATTATCGGTAAGACATTTTCTGTTCCATTGCTAGCCACCCCCCTTCCAACTGAGGTGCCTCTCCTCTAATCGTAACATTGTAGAAGAACAGTCAGATCCTTTTGTCTTGTTGGCGTAGCTGCCAGTGAGGATTGGAAGTGGAGGTGACTAAGCAGGTGCACCCTGGTGCGCAGTTCCAGCAAGAGCTGGCTAAGCTGCAACAAAACCCAGCAGGGAGCTATTTAAAGGGCTGTCAGGGAACCAGATTGCAATAGGACAGCACCTGTAAGAAACGTTATATTGTTTTCACTGCTGATTAAAAGTGAAAAGAAATGGTACCTCTTTTTCAGTACCTGACATGAACATCAGACTCCTCAACCCCCGAATCATGGCAATTTCTGCTTTAACATGTGATCTAAGGATGTTAAGGACTAGCGACTATCCTGTAAGCATTTCCTTATCGGATAGTCTCTCAACTAGTCGTTCCCCCCGCCCCTGCTGCCTCTCAGAGGCAGCAAAGGCGGGGGAAGGGGTACTTCAAAGCAGCAGTGCTGCACAGCTGAGCCAGGGATCAGCTGTGCAGCACTGCTGCTTTGAAACCCCAAGACAACCTTTCAAAGGGGCAGCTGCTGCACAGCTGATCTGCAGCTCAGTTGTGTGGCACTGCCCCTTTTGAGCTGGGGATCAGCTGTGTGATGGCTGTCCCTTTGAAACGCCGCCTCTGCATTTCAAAGGGGCAGCTGGGGAGCCCGGGGTCAGTTGGGTACTCCCTCAGCTGATCTCAGGCTCCATGGCTTTGAAATGCACAATAGTCCCTGCTGGGGACTCTTACATTTCAAAGATGGCCCACCTTGTGTAGCCCAGACTTCCCGCTGGCCTGGGGCTGTATGCCGAGTTCCACATCCCTCTTTTGAAACGTACGAGAGCCCCTGCTGGGGCTCTCGTACATTTCAAAAGAGGGATGTGGAAGTGCCTATCATCTAGTCAATTAACCACATTTTAACATCTCTAGTGTGATCAAGTTTTGCTTGGTCCAAGAGAACTTTAGGAAATACTGGGGTCAGGAGAGAGGCACAGAAGGGGGAGGAAAGCAAAAAGTGGGATGTTTTCATAAAAGTGAAATGATTAGGGTTCATGTGGCTCAACCAAGGCTTTGTCTATTCTGGAGCAAACTGGATCTTAATGCTGTAGTTCAGACCATCGAGTTCATTAGAAGTGTGGGGCAGCAGCTTGGAAATTGTAACAGTTTTCATGTAAATATTTTAATATGAGGTGGTAGATACATAAGGCAACTAGAACAGTATCCCTGTCATCTGGTCTGCTATTCTGTTTTAATTTAACACCCTCGTTTTCAGTTTAAGAAGCCCAATTGCAATGTAGAAAGTAGCATTGGAGAAAACTGGAGGTTTTGGCAGGGGAGAGTAGCATTCACTATTATGTACTCTAGTATATAATACTGTTCAGTGACGCACTAGTTTTTATGTACACATTCAGTAAACTCACATTTATTTACAGCATAGGTATTTACATAATACACATTTAGTCATGCAGCTTGATAAATTACACTCCATGTAAATGAAACACACCAAGACTTTGGATTTCCGTATCCAGTGGTTGAAAAATGCTACAATTTTTATATAAAAATAATTAGTTTTTAAAAAACAAACTAGCAAACTAAAGACATCAAAATGCAGCCACCAACTCAGACAATTGCAGGTTGTTTAAATTTTACATAACTTTGTTAGAGCAGGCTTTTTCATTTGCAAAAGTCAGGCTTCAGTAGTAATTCTTAGTGCACTTCCCTTGTTTTGCAACAAGTTAAAACAAATAAATAAGGTCAGGTGTTTGCATTGAAAGGCTCAGAGGTTTGGGAGGCAATCCATCAGTATTTTTAAATGCTAACAAAAGTCATTTTAAAACTAATTTTGTCTAGAACGCAAAGGAACTCCACGTGGTTAGACTCATTAACAATCTACAATTTTACAAAACGTAGGCAAACATACTACTACAAAAGTTCCAGAGTCCAGAATTCTTAGTCACAAGCATAAGTAAATGTTCAAAGGCTTTACAATAGTGGTACCATTGTAATAAGTCACCATCTCCATCCACAACATAGGCATGGCCAAAGATCTCCTTTGAAGTTGAAAAAAGTAGTACTTACCTCTGTTACTAACAGGGGTGTGAAAGGTTAACAGGTTACCTGGTTAACCTGTAAGCATCACCCTCAATGGGGACCTGTTTGCTATGGGTTGCTCCCCAACCCGAGATCCTGCTTTAGTTGGTTAACCAGTTAGGCCCGGCCTAACATTTAACCGGTTACCTGATTACCTGGGATTTTACATCTCTAGTTACCAAATAATTTAATTGCACAAGTATTAAAAAAACATGCTTAGCTTCTTAAAGCTAAGAGCAAAATAAGACAAAAGGGGGAAACAAATCTAAGAACTTGTTTCTTCGTTTGGCTCCCTTCTCCCCCAACCTATTCGATAGGGCCCGTATTTAAGAAAGGCTTCCGATAGTTTGTGTACATTACGCAGCTTAGGCATTCCAGCAGACATTTCCTTTTAGCCCACTGACTGGTGATAACACCCTTTTCTCTGACCAAGGTGGTTTACTTCAAGGCCCCGTTCAGTGGCTATGCAGATGACCAAGAAAAGTTGCAGCCAAACACGTAGCCGGCACTTTCAGTCATTAGGCTGAATGTTTCTATTGATTCTAAGCATGACCCTGGATAGTCATTCCCAAAGCAGGGACTTCAGCATAATTCTGAAGGAAGCCGGTTCCTGTCACAGGGCCATGTCCTTTATCACATCATCCCATCAACACACAGGTCTGTCTCACATTGGACTGCTACTGCTCCTCCAACATACTAACTGCTATAGAAGAAACCTATAAGAGGTTTAACACTGATTCTAATATCACATTAACCAGAAGCATTTAATGCAACTGTTCATGTAAACACAAGCAATTCCCCTCTCCCCCTCCCCCAGAAGCTATTTGACTTTAATTCCATATAATAACAAGAGATTCTAACCAACTTCAGAGACCATATATGTTGGCCGACTGTATCAGAACATGAAAACCTTTCAATCCCTGCAGCAGACCAACACAACTGTTCAGGCATTTAAGGTATCTTGTTGTCATGCAGAAATCTAGACACTTTCTGTATTCACCTGAAGGATTACTTTTTAAAAGTTTTTCAAGGCAAAATAAATTTAAAATAAACTGCAATTTTTTAAAATCAGGATTCAAACTAGGGGAGACTAATCCAGTGGCAAATACTGCATCTCCTTTAACTACAGAAAACTTACGGCAACAGACATTTAAATAAGAGACTACACAGCGCTTGAAAGCACACTGATACATTGTTCATTAATCAAAGACCTTATTTTCTCTCTAGATCTGGATTATTTTTGTAGACAGTTACTTTGGAATATTTATAGCTGCCTAATACAGATCCAATTGCTAGTGTAAACTTCTGCAATGTACATTAAGTGTAGTGTTACAGTCTATTGACCACAATTGGTTAATAAACTAAAGCTTACAGTTGCCTACAGTTGCTTGATAGTCTCGATATAGTATTTCTAGAGTAAAATTTTGAAAAGCATAGAAGTCACAAGTGCTGGAGAGAAACCTGAAAGATACAAATTAGTAATTAATTTTAAAGTTACTGATGATGAAACAGAGTGGAGGGAGAGCATCCATTTTGATCTTTCAGAAAGAAAAAGAAAACCTCCATTGAATTCAGATTTAAATACAACAGCAATAGCATAGCATGAACACAACACTTAGTAAGTCTATAAGTACACTACATTATATGGATTTGAAAAGATCTAAGATCAGGTCCCACTAAGCAGTTTTTGATAGGAACTTTAGAAGTATGTTGTTTAGAGCAAGTTTCTTCAGTACATTCTTTAATGAAGTCTGAAAGCGAGGTTCAAATCAAGGAGCATCATTTGATATTCCCCAAGAGTACACACTGCTGCTTTTCATGTCTTACCAGCCAGAATGAGGAATGTAATGATTCATATCCTGTTTTTTATATGGTCGGATCACATCACCTCGCTATAGGAAGACCTGCACAGTTGTTCTCTGTTTTGCTGCAGAATGTATAGTGGTTGAGGTGAATACGAATCATGTGAAGACCTACGCAGTGGTTGTCCCAAAACTGTCCATTGATTGCCGTCCCAAAAAGTGGAACCACAGTCCAGAAGGTAAGAGAGCAGCTGCCTCAGTATAAAACTTCGGAATTCAGCATGCAACTAAGGACTAGACATTCAAAGTCAGAACTTCTGTTGTAGTAAGAGAACTCTGAAAGATTGGGGGAAGACAAGTTTCAGACTATACACATCAACTGTCTACACTTTTTAAAAAAAAACAAAAAGATGGACAAATGTGGGGGAATTAACAAAAGGAGTGACGTGTCAGCGATAGCACAAAACTGATAAGCTATTCTGAGGTGTACCACAGGCCCATTCTATCATCCTTCTCTCATACGGTAGCACCTTACACTGTGCGTATCCCCACTGATTTCAGAGTGGCTACTGACAGAGTAAGGTGTTACTCAGCAAGAATAAGAGCGGCATAATTTATCACGATGTCCAGTTAAATAAAATTACTGTTTCTTCATATTTCATGTTGGACAGATAGCTGGGATTTCTTCAGGTAGAGACATTTCATGTCAGACTGCAAAGATCGTGCCATGCAATGTTCTAATGGCATTATTAGACTCTAGCACAGCAATGGGCAACCTAGGCTAGTAAGTAGGCTGCATAAGTGGCTTTCCATCTCAGTGGGCCGCAAGATTGTTGTAACCAAGATGCTCTCTAGGGACAGGGTAGTCTTGCTAACGGCATTTGCACACCTAGAATTTGATGGGATGAAGAGGGAGTGCATGGCTGTCAGTGTAGTGTATAATCACGTCGCGTGCCTTTTATGTGTATCACTTTAGTAATACCGCTATGAAAAAAGCTCTGCAGATAGAAACAGGCGGGATCTGCCAACCTTGCGCGTGGACAACAGTAAACAAAATATCTTGTAGGCTACACAAAACTCTCAAGGGCCACATGCCACCCCTAGACTTCATGTTGCCCACCACTGGTCTAGCATTAGTGTCTGGGGTCAGTAAGTATTAGGGATGTAAAATTCTGTGTAATCATTCTGTTTAACTGGTTAACTGATTAAACGGGGGTAGGCAGGAGTGGTTCCCCCTCCCACCACAAATGGTGGCAAGCCCGCTGTGGATGGGGACTGCTCTGGCCTCTAATGGTTAACCAGTTAAACATTCATACTCCTAGCAAGTATTCTAGAAAGAGTTCTAGTATAGACAGTGCAGACAAATGCCCAGACCTTTATCAATCTTACTAACAATTTAAATTAGACAGACTACAGGTAAGACAATTCACTCATGTCCCAGATGACACTAAAAAGTTTGATTTAGAGTTTTCACTGCTTAGCTAAATCCTTCCAGCACTTAGTGCCTTTGCCAATTTTGTATTTTCCACATTTTAAAACCACTATGTCTTTCTGCTTTGAACAGAGCTACATTTAACCTGCCTATCTTTGCTTACTTGCAGCATGGCACTACATCTTGCCAGAGCATTTATGTGCCTTGTGTGGGCCCTTTGCTTTGACCTCTACCACTGCTGTTACACATTTCCTTTTATTTTTTATGGAAGAAAGTAGAAAGAATAGGTATGACAAGTTTTGGAGAAAAATAAGGAAGAGGCAATTTAGTGAAAAAAAGTAATACTGTGCAATAAAAATCTAGGCAAACTGAAGCGTAAATGCGTATTACAGAATATTTAATAATACGAATGAGACATTATCAAATTGTTACCAAAATTACAGCTTGCATTTTCCCTAGGAAAAGCCCTGCATGTTTTTACTATCAGATTGTAAATCAATCTAAGCAGTAATTAGTGTATTTCTAACTAGGATATGATGAACAAGGCCCCTAGCTATAATGGGATTTGGCCCAATGTATACTGCTGTAAGCAAGCAGAGAATCTGGACTGAATATCTATTTTCAGTTGTTGCATTTGGTTTTAGTGTCAGCTTCCCCTACACATTATAAATGATGAACACACAGCTCTCAGGTTTTTCCTGGAGCACCTCTAACAAGGAAAAGTTGCAAACTGAACTTTGTGACTTAGACTCAAAGCAAGATGATGGGACCTCATACCCACATTATCTTCACGTCCCTATATATACATACAAAAAGACTGCCATACCTTTGTTCATAAATGTGTAATGTAGTCAGGACAGGGCTTGCTGTGTCTGTATTGCATGATATATACTGTAGATTGATGCCACCAATACAACATTAGTACTGCAAGGATATGCCAGACTTGGTGACTAGAGCCGAGGTAGTTTAATTGCCCTATTGGAAAAAAAAACAACACAGATTGCCTGTTGTTCTATTCAATATAATTACTGAAGTAGCAACTCTACTCTGGAGGTTGAAGCTCTCAGACATTTGAATAACTATTGATACACAGGCACGCACATAAGAGAAAATACTGAATTTTCCAAGCCAGCTTTAAATGAAAAATAAATGCAAGTACATTAAGCGTATGCTCAGATTATGTATTTGCAAACCCCTCTGAAATTGAATCACACAAGGGCTTGTCTATGCTAGTGTTTTTAGCTACTGGTGTAAACCCCTATTTTATACTAGTACCCAACCTTACCCTGGGGTTTGTATCGGTGCAGCTATATGGATAGCTATAAACCCCAGTACCCACAAGCAATTGCCAGATGCGTACAGATATGCAATGCACACAGACACACTGGATAGTTGAGCCTGCATGATGCATATGTGCAAACAAAGGAGCATATCTAATTGGAAAATCTGGTGTTTAATACCCAGACCTATTAAAAAGTCAGTGAAGTGAGCTAAGTGAACCCCAATGATTTAGCCCAAGGCCTAGCGAAGCAGCTAGTCAGCATCCACTTTCTTGCTATCAGCCTCCTCAAAGGCCCAATTCAACTCCTATGGAAACCAATATGGTCCTTTTGCTAACTTATTAATCAAATTGATAGGGGATCCTAGCACTCAGTACAACACTACACTCAGGAAGTTCTCACTGGTACAATTAAAATGCTTCCCAAAGTTGAATCTCTACCCAGTAATGTATTGCAAGTTTCAATAAATATACTTTTAATCTCTATTACAGTGGTATTATTAGAATCCTAGGGTTGCAATAGACCTTAGGAGGCCATTGAGTCCAACCCCCTGCTAAAAGCAGGACCAATCCCAACTAAATCATCCCAGCCAGGGCTTTGTCAAGCCGGGACTTGAAAACCTTTAGGAATAGAGATTCTACCACCACCCTAGGTAACCCATTCTGGTGCTTCACCACCCTCCTAGTGAAATAATTTTTCCTAATATCCAATCTAACCCTCCCCACTGTAACTTGAGATCACTGCTCCTCGTTCTATCATCTGTCACAACTGAGAACAGCCTCTCCATCTTTTCTGGAACCCTCCTATTCTCTGCAATAAACGCCACATACTCCCTTTAACGAAATGATATGCCATTTAGTCACATCCAAGATCTTTTCTGGGTTAGTTGACCTCTCTGGCTGTGTCTAGACTGGCCAGTTTTTCCGGAAAATCAGCCGCTTTTCCGGAAAAAGTTTCCAGCTGTCTACACTGGCCGCTTGAATTTGCGCAAAAGCACTGACTTCCCACTGTAAGAAATCAGTGCTTCTTGCGGAAATACTATTCTGCTCCCGTTCAGGTAAAAGTCCCATTTGCACAAAGCTTTTGCACAAAGGGGCCAGTGTAGACAGCTGAGATTTGTTTTGCGCAAAAAAGCCCCAATCGTGAAAATGGCGATCGGGGCTTTTTTGCGAAAAAGCGCGTCTAGATTGGTACGGACGCTTTTCCGCAAAAAGTGCTTTTGCGGAAAAGCGTCCGTGCCAATCTAGATGCTCTGTTCCGAAAATGCTTTTAACGGAAAACTTTTCCGTTAAAAGCATTTCCAGAAAATCATGCCAATCTAGACGCAGCCTCTATGTAAAAATCCACAACACTATCTTCCTTTAAATATCTCTCCTCCTGTGATGTCAACCAAACACACAATGTTGAGTAGACAATTGGTGTGCTGTGACTGCTGCTCAGTATACTAATCTCACTTGCCTTACTAGTTTTGTGCGCTCCTGTCAACAGTTTCATAGCCATCCATTTTGTGTTATACTCTAAGGCTGTGTCTACATTAGCATAAAAACATGCTGCCTGTCTACACTGGCGGGGAGTTCTTGTGCAAGAACACTGACGTTCTAATGTATGAAATCAGGGCTTCTTGCGCAAGAACTATGATGCTCCCGCTCAGGAATAAGCCCTCTTGCGCAACTGTTCTTGTGCAAGAGGCCAGTGTAGACAGGCAACATGAATTTCTTGTGCAAGAAAGCCTGATGGCTAAAATGGCCATTGGCGCTTTTTTGAGCAAGAGAGCGTCTACACTGGCACGGATGCTCTTGCGCAAAAGCACATGCCAGTGTAGACGCTCTCTTGCGCAAATACTTTAGCGCAAGATCATGCCAATGTAGACGTAGCCTTATAGCAAGCTTTTGAGGTAGGAACCTACTGTCTATTATTTATGTACAGTAGTAACAACTGAACCCCAATGCTGATTGGGAATTGTGATGGTGTATGTGCTTCCCATAGGTAATGGTAATTAACTGGAGCCAGACAGCAATTAGTGCACTTGGCTGCAGCTGGAAGATGGGCCAGGCCCAAGTGATGAGGAAGCACAGCTGGTAGGCCCAGAGAAGCAAACATACAGTATGCAAGGGCTGTGAAAGAGGGCCAGAGGAAAAGCCCATGTACAAAGTCTAGCAGGGCAGCTGAGGGGCTAGTTCATAGTTGCTTGCCACAAGATCTCTGGACTGGAACCCAAAAGAGGTGGAAGATGTGGTAAGGATGTTAAACAAGTAATTTACTAGTCAAGTAGTTGATGGAAATTCCATCGACTACTGGACTAGTTGATAGGCACTTCCACATTCCTCCTTTGAAATGTACAAGAGCCCCAGTAGTACATTTACTGGGGCTCTTGTACATTACAAAGGAGGAATGTGGAACTCCATGTGCAGCTGGGTTGGACTGGCCCTGGGCTGCATGCAGTGTGCCAGCTTTGAAATGTACAAAAGTCCCCAGTGGGGGCTCTTGTTCATTTCAAAGCGGAAGTTCCCTCATGGAGCCTAGGGTCAGTGGGGGGACTCTGAGTCCCCCACTGACTTTGGGCTCCATGCTGCACTGTCACTTAGAAATGCTACATGGAGCCCAAGGTCAGCTGGGGATTCCTGGGCTCCTTGCGGCATTTCCACGGAATTTGGAGTCAGCTGGGGGAGTCCCCAGCTGATCCTGGGCTCTGAACACTTTGAAATTCTGAGCGGATCCCAGGATCAGCTGGGGACTCCCCAGCCGACTCCAGGTTCCGTGGAAACGCCGCAGGGAGCCTGTGGTCAGCTAGGGAGTCCCCACCTGACCCCGGGCTCTGTATGGTGCTGCCGCTTTGAAATGACACCACGGTGTTTGTGGCAGGACCGCACACTCTGTGCAGTGCTGCCGCTTTGAAGTACCCTCCCACACCTTTGCTGCCTTGGATAGAGGCAGTAAGGGGGGAGGGGAATTGACTAGTCTTCAACATCCTTAGGTTGTGGGTTCCCCTACCAGTCCACCAGCAAAGGTGGTATGAAAACACCCTGACACAAAAAGAACTATTATTTGAAGCTGAGGGTGATCATCACTCAGGAAAAAAAAAAACAAGCTCTGGAGCTATGATTTTCCAAGGAGCATAAGCAAATTAACCTTCCAAATCCTATTTCATTTTTTTATGAGAATAATCATTAATCACCAGCCACAACTGGATGAAATGTTGAGTGAGTGCAATACTCAGAAATCATATAATACGGGTGAGTTTCAAGCTCCTTTGGAGGTTAAATTGAAATTGCTGGGATACTGACTCTTTAGACGATATATCTGTATTTTTCCAGTTTTATACAAGCATTCTGATTTTTCCCTTTTAGCATGTCTTGCTGCTAGATTGATTTAGCTGAATTCCTGCAAACTCAGAAGTTACTAGCATGAATGCAGCAGATGCATACTGTGGCAAGGGCCCCTCTTCACCAAGCCACCACTGGGTAGGCCTCTTCCTCCTAGCCTCAGGGGTTGGGAGTTTTGCAGCAGGTCTCAATGGTAGGGAGCCTGGCCACATGCCTTCAGGCTCCCTCCCTAGCTGCCTTTACCTAGTGCTGTTCTAGATTGTTCTCTCCAATTTCTTCCTCTCTGTCTCTCCACCACCTTCCTTTCATCCTCTCACACTCCCCTCCCAGCCTCCAACTGCTGAGGCTTTTAAAGGCCAGCAGAGAAGTCAGCTGGCCCCAATTTGCCTGAGCTAGCTCCCTCCCAGATGCATCTAATTGGGCTGCAGTTCTCTGGCTCCCTGGCCTGACCCACAATACAGACAACACAGTATACAACAGAGATGTGCTGCTTTTTTGTTAATGAAAATTCAGAACACACAAAGGATTCTGGAAGGGCATCTAATGAAAGTATAATCACCTAAGTAGAATGCAAAAGATAATTGTACCTGGGAAGTATCTTTCTGGAACTTTGGAAATGTAAAAGAGAAAAGCTACAGCAGCAATCAAGTACATCACAATTACCCGGGGAGCAAACTCCTGCAAAGGAAAATGAAGCTTTAATGCTTAGTATTAAATGTTAACAAGTACACGTTATCTGTCTAGCAAGTGCACTGCATACCCTGTAAGGACTGAGCTTTAATCTTATTACTTTGTTTCCATGAATGTTGAACAGACCTCAGACAAATAGGAAGTATCAAAACCTGAGGCAGAAGAGGTTAAAGTTTAGCCCCCATGATTGTGCTTGAAAAAAATCCCCCCTCTGTATTCTGTGCAAAAGTGAAATTCCACAAGAGATTTTTCTTTTTTAATACATTCACATAGTAGCTAAGAACAGATTTGCTCAGGCTGGTCCCTACAACCAGTATTCCCTCTCAGCTGCACTGCAGCACAGCAGGGCTACGTCTACACTGGCCCCATAAAACGGAATAGTCACGCAAAGCAGGTAAGTCAGAATAGGGAAATCCGCGGGGGATTTAAATAAACATGGCCGCCGCTTTTTTTCCGGCTTGGGGAAAAGTCGGAAAAAAGCGTCTAGACTGGCGCGATCCTCCGGAATAAAGCCCTATTCCGGAGGATCTCTTATTCCTACTTTGAAGTATTCCTTTCAAGTAGGAATAAGAGATCCTCCGGAAAAGGGCTTTATTCCGGAGGATCGCGCCAGTCTAGACGCTTTTTTCCGGCTTTTCCCCAAGCCGGAAAAAAAGCGGCGGACATGTTTATTTAAATCCCCCGCAGATTTCCCTATTCTGACTTACCTGCTTTGCGTGCCTCTTCCGAAATTAGGGGCCAGTGTAGACGTAGCCCTTCACAGGTGATTCGTTGGCTCTGCCCAGACTGGGCTCTATGCATGGAGCTGGCTGACTGAGCAAGGTGGATTAATCACCTGTGAAGCTGTGCGGCCACACAGCTTAGAGGGAACACTGCCCACAGGGCTACACTGAAGCATTTCCCTGAGTAAGAATGCACTGAAAATGCTTTACTAATGGCTCAATCAATACTCTGTAAGTTCCTTTTGGAAGTAGTGGGGGAACATCATTACTAAATCAGCTTAGAATCTTTGACCTTGAGGCATAATTTACCACATGAGATCTCACAAGGCTCATATAGATCTCACAAGATCTCACATAGACTGGACCACTGCTTCCCACAGCTCCCATTGGCCGGGAATAGTGATCCACAGCCAACAGGAGCTGCGAATGGCTGTGCCAGCAACCATGCAGGTAAATTAAGCATTGACCACTTACCGGGGTTAACCCTGGCAAACCACGTCTAGCCTATGGGCTGTTTATTACCCATCGCAACCTAAAGTCCATTAAAGTGCCAGTACAAGAACCTGCAGAGATTAGCATCAAGGTAGGGTCTCATCAGTGTCTAGTTAATTATATAACTGTTACAACTACTGTTTTACCCTAAGACAGGAATGTTTCTCCCTCTGCTATACCGTTTGCTTCTCAGGGTTGGGTAACCTTTAACAATAGGCTACTTTTCTAGCCAGTTGATAACTACAAACATTATGAAATTATTGAAGTATGAATAACCTATGGGTTACTTAAAAGGCAAAGTTAAGTGTGTATTTATAAGGCTCACTTCTGGCTTTGCCACAAACTGCAAGTCAGATTCTGCTCCAGGAGAAGACTAGAGTCAGAATCTGGCCGCTACCTCCCCCCAATTTCAGGGGTGGGAAAGCAAGAGGATTCTGCACCTTATCTAGACTAGCAGCGAGGAGTCCTCTGGCACCTTATAGACTAACTGAAGTGTAGGAGCATAAGCTTTCGTGGGCAAAGACCCACTTCGTCAGATGCATGTGGTGGAAATTTCCAGAGGCAGGTATAAATATGCAGGCCAGAATCAGGCTGGAGATGAAGAGGTGGATCCAATCAGGGAGGATGAGGCCCACTTCTAGTAGCTGATCGGGAGGTGTGAATTCCAAGAGAGCAGAAGCTGCTTTTGTAGTTAGCGAGCCATTCACAGTCTTTGTTTAATCCTGAGTTGATTGTGTCAAACTTGAAGATGAACTGTAGCTCAGCAGTTTCTCTTTGAAGTCTGGTCCTGAAGTGTTTTTGCTGCAGGATGGCTACCTTTAGAGCTGCAATTGTGTGTCCAGGGAGATTGAAGTGTTCCCCTACAGGTTTTTGTATGTTGCCATTCCTAATATCTGATTTGTGTCCATTGATTCTTTTATGTAGGGACTGTCCAGTTTGGCCGATGTATATAGCAGTGGGGCATTGTTGGCACATGATGGCATATATTACTATAAGGTGCCACAGGACTCCTCGCCGCTTTTGCAGATTCAGACTAACACGGCTACCCCTCTGATACTTACCTAGACTACTATTTCCTACTATGCGGACTTGACTCTGGACACCCCAACCATCTTGAGGCAGGCAACACACTGACTTCACACAGGTTGTTGCATTCTAGAAGTGTGTCCTCTAGGGTCACAGTTGTGCTATATTATTTACTTTTCTCATGAGGCAGGTGTAAGTAGTGTGTTGTAAACCAAATTTAATGGATACATTTTGTTTTTAGTTTCCCATCCAGAACGTTGAATATTCAGCTCAGCATTAGCTAAAGCCACTTAGAAGCATGAAACAAATAGTCTTTATTACAAACATGGGGAGGAAGAGGAGCAGAGGAACCTTGTCTGCTTCTCAGCTTACCTGCACAATAGATGCACTGACTCCTCCATTGAGCCAAACCCAGTGGATAGTAGGAATGACGCCGTAGCCAGAGACAGAGCAAAAGATGACGGAGCGCAGTCTGTGCCACTGTTGAGTGAGGTAGCTGGGATGAATCTGAGCAAAGAATACTGCAAGGATCATAGCAAGCACAGTGATCAAGTATATCTGGCGCCAGTACTGGAAAAAGGAGAAAAAGTCTTTGTTTTTTTCTGCTTTGGTGGGCATGAAGGTAGCACCAGTGGTAGAAAATGTACAAAGTTAAACTGAAATCAAATGTAGCAAAGGCTAACTGTTGTTTCTTCCACACACTTTTCAACATATTGTAAATTACAAAAACTCTTGCATGCCCTAAAATGCATCAAGTTTGCTCCTGCACTAGTTTAACTGGCTAGAACTGGTTCTATTGCCAGATTCAGACACATTACATAATGTATGATCAATGCAGCAAACTACTAAGTTGCACAAGCCTACCCTGGATAAGCCAACATAAGGGTTTGGTGGGAAACTACTTTCCCCTTTCTTACACACATACAGATGGAGGATCAAGAGAAGATAGGCTCCAGAGTCCAGACCATCCTAAACACCACTACTCTGAAAGGTCCCTAGGGAAGCAGTAATTTCCCCCAAACTCCTGCCTGTGTAAACATTTTAGAAAGGAGAGGAGTGATTACTAGGCTAATTTCTCAATCAGTCTCCTTTCTTTTCTCTTGCCTAATCCCAGCTCCTGTCCTTGCCCCACCCTTAGGCACTTCCTGCCTTCTGGATCCTGGCCTGTTCCAAACCACTGTTCCTTTTCAACAAAGCGATTTGAGGTTACCCGATGAGCTGCAAAAAAAACCCAGTGCCTTTGGGGAGAGGTGTATCCAGGATGCCTTCCAAAAAGTAGGGATGTTAAATACTGTATAATTGAATAGTTGGGTAACTGTATAAAATCTTAGTGGTTACATGACTATTTGACAGTCCTCGGGGGTGCAGCCAGCAGCCAGTATGCTCCCAGCTCCACTCCCGGAGAACTCCCTGATAGAGACAGCAGTGCAGGATGGCAGCAGCCTCTGCCCGCAGGGAGCAGCGTCCGTCCAGGTCCACCGCAGACGAAGGCTGCTCTGTAGGATGCAGAGCAACCTCTGTCCCTGGAGACAGACAGAGGCCCACTGCAGACAGAGGCTGTTTTGAGGCAGCCTCTCCTGCCCTCTCCCTGTGCTGCTGACTCTGAAAGAGGCAGCAGTATGGAGAAAGGAGGAAGCAGGTAGCACCATGGAGCTGGTGCTGGGGGAGAAATGGCTTCTAAGCCAGCTCCCTGCAGTACCAGCTCCTGCCTGCTTCCCCTCCCCCCATTGCCTCTCTAGAAAGCAGCAAGGGGGAAAGCAGGCAGGTCCATGGAGCTGCCACACAAGAGGAGCCTGCATGAAGGCCGGTTCCCCATGTGTACTGGTCGCAGCCCATCTGCCTCACTCTCCATACTGCTGCCTCTTTATCAGGGGCAGCAGTGGGATGGATCCAGTGCTTGTGGGAGCTGGCTTTTAAGTAATCTTTTCCCAGGCACCGGCTCATGCTCCCCTCCTCACCTTGCTGTCTCTGATACAGAGGCAGCCGAGTGAGGAGGGGAAATGCGTGTAGTTGACAAGATTAACCAATAAGCCCAGGATTATTTGTTAATCATGCAGTCATCTACACAATGACATTCCTACCAAACCCCCTTTTTATTTCCAATAAGAACCAGCAATTTGGGGCAGAAAGGAAACTAACCGTGTTTTTGCCACATGTAAGCCAGCCAGTAAGTTCAAATAACGCGGCTCAGCTAGGAGGCCAGTAATGCTAAATTGTTTTGAATTATGTGCTCATGTCTGAGCCAGCTTGATGTGTTCAACAATTCTGGAAGCAATAAAACCCAGGTTTTAATGATCTTCTATAGCAGATCGTTCAACTAATTATTTTTCATGGGAAAGGTTTACTGAAGTTTGAAAGAACTGCAGTTCCCATTACTACTCAGTTGATTCTGCACTGCTTGCATGTTGTGCAACTAACTTCTTGCCTGGAGTACGAGAAACCAGCTGGATAAGGCCAGACAGGTCAGAATCATAGAACACTTGAACTGGAAGGAACCTCGAGAGATCATCAAGTCTAGTCCCATGCCCTCATGGCAGGACCAAGTGCTGTCTAGATCCTTCCTGACAGGTGTCTGTCTAACCTGCTCTTAAATATCTCCAGTGATAGAGATTCCACAACCCCCCTAAGTAATTTATTCCAGTGTTTAACCACTCTGGTAAGGTAGGAAGTTTTTCCTGATGTCCAACCTAAACCTCCCTTGCTGCAGTTTAAGCCCATTGCTTCTTGTCCTATCATCTGAGGCCACGGAGAACAATTTTTCTCCCTCCTCCTCATAACACCCTTTTAGATTCTTGAAAACCACTGTCATGTCCCCTCTGTCTTCTCTTTTCTAAACTAAACAAGCCCAGTTCTTTCAGTCTTCCCTTATAGGTCGTTTTCTAGACCTTTAATCATCTTTGCTGCTCTTCTCTGGACCTTCTCCAATTTCTCCACATTTGTCTTGAAATGTGGTGCCAAGATCTGGACCCAATACTCCAATTGAGGCCTAATCAGCACAGAGTAGAGCGGATGAATGACTTCTTGTGTCTTTGCTCACAACACTCCTGTTAATGCATCCCAGAATCACGTCTGCATCACATCAGATATGAAATGTTCACTTTTCTGCATAAGAAGCACATTAAAACTTACATTATTACAGTAAAATGCATAAAACACTCCTGATACGTAGCAGCCCAGGATCCCAATGGAAATTCCTGCGTAATCTAATGCCATCCATCGGCGGCTAGTCTTCTCTGAACGATGACAGCAGAAAAGATGATATCCTACTGAGCAAAGCATACAGACCTATACAAATATTCAAACAAATCCATGTTAATTTCTTTAAAGTCTAGTGGATAGCTACATAAAAATCAAAGCAGAAAAAGCATCAGGCTCAGTCTATGAAACTGTCAGCACAGAAATAATCTTCTGATGCTGTTATATATTTCACACTACTGACGAGTGTCAGGAAATCACATTGCCTACCAATGATGAAACAGCCAGCTGAGACCAAACCAAGCTGGTTGGAGAAGGGTCAACAGACGTTAAGGAAAAATCCTGCCCAACACAAAAGGCCTGAGTGGCAGTCCAATCAACGTGAAGTAAGGAAGCAGGAAGATATGTAAGTCAGCAGGGTAAGTGTGCAGGAGCTCCTTGTGCTTCAGTACAGATAGGTGGTTTGGGTGAGCACCTGCTGGATCCATTGGCCAAACTACCACATGTAGAGATGAGGAGGGAAAAGAGGTGGGCCCACTGCAACACCTGGAGTAAAGCAGCGCTACTGCTATTTTTCAGTTTGGAGAAAGAGGATTTCATCACCCCAGATGTATTCAATGTGCGGTTCATTTATGCTGGTACCAGGATTTGTCCCTTCCGTTTGTTCTTTTAAAAAGAATCAGTCTGGCTTTCTTAAGTGGTCTTCAACAGCCATGGTTTGAAAAATTTAACAAGTCATCTACGACGTAGGGTGTGTCTAGACTACATCCCTCTTTCAACAGAGGGATGTAAATTAGACACTTCGAAATTGCAAATGAAGCTAGGATTTGAATTTCTCACGCTTCATTTGCATATTTGTCATGGCGCTCTTTTGAAAAAGCACTCTTTCGAAAGAAACTGCCGTTTAGATGCGGATCTTTTGAAAATAGAAGACTTGTTCAAAAGATCCTGTAAACCTCATTTTTTGAGGAGTACAGGATCTTTAGAAAAAGGGTTTTATTTTTGAAAGATCCCCATCTAAACTGCCATTTTTCTATCACAGCCCCATTTCGGGAAAAACCTGTGGCCGCCATTATGCAAATGAAGCATGGGAAATTCAAATCCCGGCTTCATTTGCAATTTCGAAATGTCTAATTTACATCCCTCTGTCTAAAGAGGGATGTAGTCTAAACACACCCATAGTGACTTCCTCCTTGTTGATATTTCTAACAGGGTAAATGGACACCGCCTTTCCTAATTACCCAGTTCAAACTCTGGCTGATGGGAAGAGCAAGAGAACACTAGCCTCTCTTCACTCTTTGCTCATGTGGGGAGCCCATATTTCATAATGACTTTGGCAAGTGAGTGACTGATACATTTGACTCTGCTGGGAAGGAAAGGGTATGTGAGTGTGCGTCTGTGGCACATCTTAGTCCACACACCTTTCCTTCGGGCTGGTGAGGAAAAATCTTTCATCCACACCTAAGAGGAGTTTGTGTCTATGCCCATCTGATAGAACAGAGTGAAATTAAATAGAATCCGACTGGTTTCATTGGTGTTGATCTCTCTTACTTTGGGATAGCATTTGCCAAACTAGATCACATGTATCATCAATAGTCTGTGACCCTTTACGTGTAATCTGCAGCATGAAACATTGACAAGTAAGTAGCAAAGGATCAGGCATCCATGGAAAAATCTCTCAATTCAGCAATTGTCCATAATTTTCATTTGCCAAAACACTGTGAGGGAAACAGTAAAAATGACCATTCCTTTACACTTCACTGTTACTACAGCAACTGGATAGGTTGCTTTCTATTCCTCACATATCATTAGCTATCCATCACTGCAGAGAGTTCATATTAAATTCCTCAAACTTGCACACTCCCTCACAAGGACAGAGGCTCAAACAGATTCCAACTTTTATCTGATTCTCAGAATACTGTGCGCTCAAGCATTAGTGGGGGTTCAAAGGGTATGTAACATTTCATATCCTATATGCTTCAAAACAGGATAGATACACTTAAGGTTGGAGTGACAGTCCTGAGTTTCAACCTTGAATTACCAGCACACATGAAAAATCATTTCAGTTTAAAATCTTATCTCCTTGAGGTGCATAGATTGTTGTGTGGAAAAAAATCTTCCCTCTCTCAAGGAGTTTTCTATATTCCTCATGTTCCTCTTTTTAAAAAAAGTTATTGAAGCTTACATATAGTCAAGAGAGGTTGCTGTTGAGAAATGTAGAGTATATAGCACTGGAATGCTACATTAACAGTTCCTGCTGGACTGGGAAGCAATGGACTGGGAATTAAGCTAGGAAACATTCTATTGGCCATTATTCAATAACAGTCAAAAAACAATCCAAACAAGTGAAATTTAATTATTTAGGAACCTCAATCCAAGAGGGGCTGAAGATGCTCAATACTTTTCAGGACATGGTTCCCCCATTCCTTATTACAATTCTATCAGCGATTTAGCTGCTCTGCATGTTAGATCAAAGCTGAAAGACCTTCCAGTATGCTTGTAAGTGCTGCTGGAAGATCTTCCAGTGTACTTGTAAATGCCACTGAACAATAGATTAAATAAATTACTTACTTTCCCAACAACTTTGAACACAGCTAGAGGGAAAAATTTAGCAGCCATCTGTGCTTCATACTATATCAGACCATGTAAGTGGAAAATATTTGGACAACTATACTTCTTAATCAAATGACTACAGTTTAAATCCATATTTTTCCCTAGCCTGGTTGAAATCAAGTAGTGGTTTGGCATACTGTGTAGCCAAGTACTATTACTAAACCTCTGCGTGGACATATTTTGAAGCATAGGTGATAAAACTGCTGAAGGTTTAATACTTTCTCAAATATAGGTTTTTTAGAGACTAATTTTTTTACCCCAAATCCAGACGTACTGGTAGTTTGATAGTTCTGCTGTTCTTCCATAAAAGAACTACATATTTAACATTTCCCTATTCACGCAGATTTTTTTTCTCTATTTCGATCAAATCTATGAAGGTTGAACTAAACAATTATGATCCTGAAAATGTTGAAAAATTACAGTCACAAGTATTTTAAAAGATTTTCAAAACTAATTTATAAAAAACTTACTTGGAAGCAGAAGAGGCAAATAGAACAGATAACAAAATCTTCTCTAGAGGCACTCGCTGAAGGTAATACAGAAGTCATGTCATATATGCCCAGAGTGAAGAAAAGGAAAAAGCCCAGTAAGTGACTCCAGATGTTTACTGACTCATTGGATAAAATGAACAGACTAAAAGAAAAAAGAACAGATATTCAGAAAGTGGTGTGTAGAACTGATAATCATGATTGTAGCAAACATTCAAAAGTTAGGAAAAGCATGAATCTTGCTTTTAAACATGCCAATCAACCTATGTTACCTTTTTAAACACAGCCTAGAAGGAAGATAAGCCCTGTAGCCATCTGTAATATATGGATTATCCTTAAGGAACACAGGAATCTGCTCATAGGTATACAAACGGATTCCCCGAGGTACCAGAACAGGCCAGTACTGGTAGCTTCCTAGTTCGATGTAATGGGCACTCTTCAAAAGCTTCTGATGCATGGTGATAACGTCACCGCCAACAGCTAAGGCAAGACTGACCAGAACGTCTAAGTATGCTCAAGGCATCTGATCTCTGTTACAGTACGCCTGAAAAACAAAACATAATTTGCTGAATCACTTACAGAGCTTTTGTCACAGGTAGAAACAAATCCAGCATCACAAAATTAAGCAGCGACAATGTATCTTTCTGTAGACAGGAACTGCCCCTTTCCAAGCAAATCCCCCTCCTGTGTTACTATCCGATACGTGCCAGGCAAAATTGTCTTACCAACTGCATTTACAAAACGAGTGGGAAGAGGGCACAGAATCGCACCTCTCACGACACTGTGGGCCAAGTGACCTGCAGGCTGTGTCTACACTGGGCCACTTATTCTGGGAAAATCAGCCGCTTTTCCGGAATAAGCTGTGAGCTGTCTACACTGGCCCTTGAATTTCCGGAAAAGCAACGATGCTCTACTGTACAAAATCAGCTGCTATTCCGGAAATACTATTCTGCTCCCGCTCGGGCATAAGTCCTTATTCCAGAACACTGTTCCGGAAAAGGGTCAGTGTAGACAGCCCAGTAGTCTTTTCCGGAAAAAAGCCCCGATTGCGAAAATGGCGATCGGGGCTCTTTTCTGGAAAAGCGCGTCTACATTGGCCAC